TTAGCTCCAGTCTATTTAACGGATCTTCTATCGCCCTATAATCCATCGCGCTCTTTAAGATCACTAAATTCGAGGCTTCTGGTCATTCCTAGGATATCCAGATCCACCAAAGGAGGGAGAGCATTTTCACATTTAGCTCCGAAGCTCTGGAATAGGCTTCCTGATATTGTTCGTTGCTCAGACTCGTTCTCCCAGTTTAAAACTAGACTAAAGACGCATCTATTTAGCCAGGCATTCATATACAGGTCCTTCTAAAAAAAATAGCATATTGTGATAAAGTTCATTATTTTCCAAAATGTAATGATACAAATTAAACTTTCATATATTTAAGATTCATTGCACACCAACTGAAATATTTCAGGTCTTTTATTGTTTTAATACTGATGATTTTGGCATACAGCTCATGAAAACCCAAAATTCCTGTCTCAAAAAATTAGCATATCATGAAAAGGGTCTCTAAACGAGCTATTAACCTAATCATCTGAATCAACTAATTAACTTTAAACACCTGCAAAAGATTCCTGAGGCTTTTAAAAACTCCCAGCCTGTTTCATTACTCAAAACCGCAATCATGGGTAAGACTGCCGACCTGACTGCTGTCCAGAAGGCCATCATTGACACCCTCAAGCAAGAGGGTAAGACAGAAAGAAATTTCTGAACAAATAGGCTGTTCCCAGAGTGCTGTATCAAGGCACCTCAGTGGGAAATCTGTGGGAAGGAAAAAGTGTGGCAAAAACCGCTGCACAACGAGAAGAGGTGACCGGACCCTGAGGAAGATTGTGGAGAAGGACCGATTCCAGACCTTGGGGACCTGCGGAAGCAGTGGACTGAGTCTGGAGTAGAAACATCCAGAGCCACCGTGCACAGGCGTGTGCAGGACATGGGCTACAGGTGCCGCATTCCCCAGGTCAAGCCACTTTTGAACTAGAAACAGCGGCAGAAGCGCCTGACCTGGGCTACAGAGAAGCAGCACTGGACTGTTGCTCAGTTTTGCATGTCATTCGGAAATCAAGGTGCCAGAGTCTGGAGGAAGACTGGGGAGAAGGAAATGCCAAAATGCCTGAAGTCCAGTGTCAAGTACCCACAGTCAGTGATGGTCTGGGGTGCCATGTCAGCTGCTGGTGTTGGTGCACTGTGTTTTATCAAGGGCAGGGTCAATGCAGCTAGCTATCAGGAGATTTTGGAGCACTTCATGCTTCCATCTGCTGAAAAGCTTTATGGAGATGAAGATTTCATTTTTCAGCACGACCTGGCACCTGCTCACAGTGCCAAAACCACTGGTAAATGGTTTACTGACCATGGTATTACTGTGCTCAATTGGCCTGCCAACTCTCCAGACCTGAACCCCATAGAGAATCTGTGGGATATTGTGAAGAGAAAGTTGAGAGACGCAAGACCCAACACTCTGGATGAGTTTAAGGCCGCTATCGAAGCATCCTGGGCCTCCATAACACCTCAGCAGTGCCACAGGCTGATTGCCTCCATGCCACGCCGCATTGAAGCAGTCATTTCTGCAAAAGAATTCCCGACCAAGTATTGACTATTGAGTGCATAACTGAACATAATTATTTGAAGGTTGACTTTTTTTTATTTAAAAACACTTCTTTTATTGGTCGGATGAAATATGCTAATTTTTTGAGACAGGAATTTTGGGTTTTCATGAGCTGTATGCCAAAATCATCAGTATTAAAACAATAAAAGACCTGAAATATTTCAGTTGGTGTGCAATGAATCTAAAATATATGAAAGTTTCATTTTTATCATTACATTATGGAAACTAATGAACTTTATCACAATATGCTAATGTTTTGAGAAGGACCTGTACATTTTTTATTTTACAGTTACTGTAAATCCGGCCCCTACTTCATAAACGCCAGAGGAGAACTGGCCCCGACTAAGCCTGGGTTCTCCCAAGGTTTTTTTTCTCCATTGGGTCATCTGATGGAGTTTTAGGACACCATCAGGTCACTTGATGGAGTTTTTCATTGCCTTTGGCTTGCTCAGTTGGGGATATTCAAATTAAATGACCCATCATACCACTGATCAGCTCTACCAAACTTGGCTGTCTTTTCCAGTAATAAACCAACACTGTTAAGTTGTTTTGATTGATACTGTGAAGCAGCTTTGATACAATCTGTATTGTGAAAAGCGCTATATAAATATATTTGACTTGACTTGACTTAGTTTTAGTTATTCTTGTTGCTTCTGTGCAACATATGAATAACAATTTATTTGTTTTATTTGTAGATATTTCTATTTTGCGGGAGTCCCGCAAATCGTTTTATTCTCCTGCAACCCGCACACACATGAGTACGTGCCGCCCGCACTCGGCCATTAAATCTAGTCCCGTGCCGCACTCTGTTGCATTGGGTCCCGCGGGAGTGCAGGTCTCTACACTCCATCGACTGAACAGCATTTTCTCGACATATTTCCGTGTTGTTGTTGCTCAGCAACAATGCTGTCTGGGTCGGGCAAAAGGAGGGAGGGACGGTGGGCAGTGCTCGGCGTGGAGACTGAAGGCGGTGACTGAGTAGTTCTGACATCACATTTTTACGGATGGTGAAAGGCACAGCTACTTTATGCAGGCTGTGTGCATTTGTCTGTGGATTGACTGTTTTGAAACTTATATGGTAGTTACATAGCCCCTAGACCTCTTTTATCATGAAAATAGCCAGGAAATTTCATTTTTGACAATATGGGACCTTTAAACATTCAAATGAGTCTCTGTACATGAACATGGTAAAATGAAAAAGCAAACCGCTGTGGCAGGAATGTTGAACAGGAACTGTTACAGGAATGTTACAAAGTCTCTCTGTTCAGATCATTGTGCTCACTAATGTGCCTTTTTGTCCTTCATTATGTATCTTTGGCTTTAATCAAAGAGCCATTCTTTTAATCTCCTCATTCTTTGTTCAAGTTCCCTCACAGTCCCACCTGATATGGTCATTAGGGGAGGGTCTTCGTCTTCCCAGGAGTGAAACACATCAATATTCATGATGATTCACGCCCTCCTCGCATACAGCTTTCTTAAACAAAACATTTCTTACAAATTTTAAATCTATAGACTTGCTATATGTGAGAGTCGGCAGGATGGTTTTCACATAGTTTAGAAGAAAAAATTCTAGGCTACGTGATACAATTTTCAAAAGTCTTGTAAACAAATAATCAGTATGGGTTTATGGCCTTATTTCAGTGACAATTTCTTTTTCAAGTTACATTTACATTTATTCATTTAGCAGACGCTTTTATCCAATGCGACTTACAAATGAGAACAAAAGAAGCAGTTAAACTAACAACAATATGCAAGTGCTATGACCCCTTTTAGTTTAATCTAACGCAAAACATGTAATTTTTAATTTTTTTTTATAAATAACAAATAGATTAGAAGAGAAAGTGTTAGTATTACTGGATCAAGTGCTGCCGAAAAAGATGCGTCTTCAGCAGTTTCTTGAAAGTGGCCACCAGCAGGGAATCAAATCACGCATTAACATAATTTTCTCAAAACTACAAACTTTTACATACATGCTGCTCACATATTGTTGTAGCAGAGTTTGTGCTTAATACAGTGTAATCATACTTTAGCCATGCAAGTCTTACAAGTAACAGAAATAAGCACAAATGTCAGAGCATGTCAGAACACCTCCAGGACCCAGAGGATTCAATTTGCTTTGATATCAGGCGCTCTGGCTAAACATGTGACTATGGTGGCTGGTGTCTCTATTTTTAACGTTCTGTGTAATAGAATCGCCAATAACTAGGGCACTTTCAACAAGATTATCAGTGGGTAGAGCCTGTTTGATGTCCTCTTATGTCAAAATATCACGGCAAATTTGATTTCTCATGTCATGACCCATTTAAAATAGCTGTTTTCTATATAAATATATTGTAAAATGTAAATGTTTATTCCTGTGATCAAAGCTGAATTTTCAGCATCACTTCAGTGTCACATGATCCTTCAGAAATCATTCTAATATGCTGATTTGCTGCTTAAGAAACATTTACGATTATTATCAATGTTGAAAATGGTTGTATTGCGTCATATTTTTGTGACAAATATAATGCATGTTTTTTCAGGATTCTTTGATGAATAGTTCAAAAGATTAGCATTTATTAGTAGCCTGAGTTTGACTGGAATTGTCATTAAAAAACATGTCATCAACAGGTGAAGTGCTCATCTCATTCAACTGGATAGAAGTTTATTAGTCAATGTGAATCACAAGTATTGAGTCAATAGCTGGTTGTAATTGCAACTACATGTCACACTGAGTCATTATAGATTATCTCATTCACATCTTCAACTCCAGCCTCAGACACTGTGAGTTACTCTGCACAATCTCACAGCGCCCTCTAGTGTTACACAAGCCTATTTCACTATCATAAATGCATATCAAATACATAACCACTGCAAACAAACCTGCAAAAAGAAACATTTAGTAGCCTACCACTGATATACTTATGTAGAATGACCAAATCAAATATTGAATATAATGCACAAATTCATGCCGTTATGGAGGCAAGAATAAAACAATTCATATTAGTGCACTGTATAAAAGAAACAATATAATTTTCACTTTTGTTTAGACGTCAGAAATATGGCTTAAAGCATAAGTCTAGATGAAAACTGCATTATAATTATTTGAAACAAAATTCTTTTTACTTGACATCTTTACAACTACATCAAGAAACAATGAATGAAATAATATTCTTTGCACAATTTAAACGTTCAAAAGTCAGTCAAACAATACATTTCATAACTAGGGTTACAGTTGTCCTAAACTTACAATAGGAGAAAAAAATGACTTTCAAAGTAGCTTCCATTGATGATGTTCAAGTACGTGTTAAATTATCTTAAAAGCTAATGTTCCCATTTATGAACCCATTATGAGTTATTGCATCCCCTCACCGTACAACATCTTAGACAGAGATTATTATTAAACATGACTAGTATTCAGACCTTCTACTTTCGACTTGCTGTCTAAGAGACAACATGGGTTTCTGTCTTAATTATGCTCATTATAAACATTTTCCACAGCATTATCTCTGGATTGAACGATGGTTGTGGTGGAGCCGGAGCTTCCTGGATCATCAGAGAAATTACCTTCAATGTCTTTGTGAATGTGGTAGTAATACAGGAAGAGGAAAAACCCTAGAAAAAAATCATAGAAAATGTATTCAGCTAATTATGCCTCCTCAAATACAATGATTTTTTAAAAACTGTAACCAATAATAAAAATAAAAAAATCCCATTATAGCCCTTATAATTAATTAAATACTTTGAAAAAATAGTGAAAGTGAAAATAAATAAATCAATTAAAAATCATCAATGAATGAAATCAAATAATTTGCTGAAATCTGTGAAAAATAGAAGCATCCTACTAAACCAAATGCAATGATGCATGTGATTGTTTCTCACCCTGAAACGAGTTCAACACGGTGAAGATGTAATATGAGGGGATGAGCATCGGTCCATAACTGAAGAACGCCACAGCCCACGTCAGGCCGAAGAGCAGGAACAAGCTCAACACCATCATGAGCTGCTTTCTGAACGTCTTTCTCTTGCCGTCAGGCGCTCTTATGTGCCGGGCTTGGACAATCTTAGTGACGATCATGATGAAGATTCCTGTTGTGAAGATGAAGACTAAAGCGTAGTAGCCAATGTTCACTATGTAGTGAATTAAAGGATCTGTAATCCAGCACCTATAATTAGAAGAGAGTGAAATATAATTAAGACAATTAGAAGGCACTTAAAGTGCCCCTAATATTCTTTTTTTTTTAGATATTATCTTTGATGTAGAGTGTCATAGAGCTGTTTGTGAAGATAGAGAGTTTGCAAAGTTTCATAGATCAAAGTGCAGATAAAGTTATTGTCTCCTAAAAGAAAGAAACTGAACTGCCTGAAACGAGTCGTCAGAAATTCCAGTATGACTTCCTGCTGAACCTAAAGGTTGATTTATACTTCTGCGTCGGACCTACGCCGGAGCCTCTACGCTGTAGACTACGCGTTGGTATTAATTTATACTTCTGCGTCGTTTTCCGCGTTGATGCGCGCAGAGGGAACATGTGAAACCCGAGGGAGCGGTTCTAGCAGACCAATCACAGCGCTTGCGTCCGCGTAGAATTGATGTGTTGTTACATTTTTGGAGAGGTGCACGTCAGGGTACGCGCGCTACACACAGCTTACGACGTAGCTACGGCGGGAGGTCGACACAGAAGTACAAATTGGGCTTTAGTAGGTTTTAATGCCTGCCAGTGTTGTCAAAAATATTGATATTTTGATATCAATTCTGAAATATTTGAAACTGTTCCAATACTCATTTTCTGCAGTATTGATATACCGATACTAGCTGCGTGTTCTGTCTCTCTCTCTTCTCTCCGACGGCGAATTGACACACACCGGCCTTCTCTCACTCACTCGTCTTTCCGGTTTCTTTCCCATTCTTTCCGGTTGAATAGCGCTTATATTATGCAAAAGCGTGTACAACTAACCGATGGCGTACTGTGCACACATAAAGCCGCCTCTCAAACAACTCACAAGTACCAAATTGAATTGTATTGTGCTTAAATGGTCAAATACACACAAATGTCAAAATGCCCGTCTTGCCCGTCAGTTTTGGAATGTAAATAGTTGAGCGAAAACGCATGTTGTGTAATGTTGCGAGTAGGACGATGCCGAGGGCCGTGGGAGAACGATTGCTGATGAGCTGTCACGGAATGGTCAGAACTGAGTGGAGGATACAAGAGCAGGATGAGAGGATGTTTATTAAATAATACAAAATAAAACAGAACCAAAATGAGTCAAAGTCCAAAACATTGACCAGGGAGGGATAGAGCCAGGAAGATCAGGCTTGTCAGGAGTCCTGGGTGAGGACCAGGATGGTGCAGGCTTAACAGACCACCCGGGCGGATCCAGCATCCAGGGTGGAACAGGCTTGGCAGGCATCCAGGGCGGAGCATGAGTCCAGGGCGGAGCAGGACATGTAGACGACCAGGGTGGATCAGGCTGTGCAGGTGACCAAGGTGGAGCAGGCAGTTCAGGTGGCCAGGGTGGATCCGGGTGTGCAGACCCTTCGGGTGGCCACGGTGGAGATGACCATTCGGATGGCCATGGTGGAGACAACCATTCAAGCGGCCAGGGTGGGTACCACCCTTCAGACGGCCATGATGGAGACGACCATTCAGGTGACCATGGTGGAGACCACCCTTTTAACGGCCATGATGAATGAACAGTCACCGGTTCAGGGACAGACACCGGCTCAGGGACAGACACTGGCTCAGGGACAGACACCGGCTCCGCAGACGTGACGGCGACAGTCTCTGGATCGGCAGAAGTGACGTGCTTGGGCGGCGAAGGCAAGGAGCTTGGGCGGCGCCGGCAGGGCAAGGCGTCTGGGTGGCGCGGCAGGACGAGACCCTTGGGTGGCGCCGTTAGGGTGAGATGCTTGGGTGGCGCCGGCAGGGCGAGACGCTTGGGTGGCGCCGGCAGGCCGAGACGCTTGGGTGGCCCGGCTCTAGGCCTCACTGGATGCTTCGGGGTCTTGGCTGCAGGCTTCGGAACAACCTCCGGGCCTCGTGGTTGACCGAAAGCTCTTCCTCCTCCGCTTACATGAGCGAACAAGCTTTATAGGCTCCTTGGCCACCACTTGGGACGCTGCAGGGAGAGTGAACCGCTCTGGGACAACCGGACCTGGGACCCCCGAAGTCGGATCCTTCTGGACCCCCGGGCTTGGGACCACCGAAATTGAGTCCTCCTGGACCACTGGACTTGGGACCCCTGAAGTCAGATCCCCTCGGACCACCAGACTTGAGACCACCGAAGTCAGATCCTCCCAGTCCACCGGATCTGAGATCATCAATGTCGAGTCCTCCCAGAACACCGGACTTGAGACCCTCGACACCGAGTCCTCCCGGACCACCGGACTTGAGAACCCCGACGTCGTCTGGTTCTTCCGGACCCTCCGGTTAGGAACCATCGAAGTCGTAGGATCGCCGTCATTAAATGAACTTGGACTGTGGACTGATGTTGGTGTCCACGACGACCATGTCCCCTTCTATGGCCTCCACGAGTCCCCGAGAATCTGGCCAAGCAGGATCCCTCAAAGGATTGCGGGTGAGCCGGAGTCTTAGAGGAGCTGCCAGTTGCCGTCCTGGGCTTACCCCCTCCCACCTGACCGCCAGCTCCCATGGTCTCCTCAGTCCTACGAGCGCACTTAGCGAAGTAGTCAAATAAGGAAATGGCAGATCCCTTCTCTCCCGCAGGAAAAATCTCATTCCGCTGTATCCACATTCTTTGGCTGGTTTGTTCTGTCACGGTATGAAAAACAAACCCGAGGGGAAAAAAAAGAGTGGTTTCAGGCAAAAACAGGTAACACAAGGAAACATGAAACATTGACAACGAACCAGCACAGGACAGCAAACACAGGGAGACTAAATAGGGAAACAAACAAAGGAGGGTAACAAGAAAGACAGGTGGGACAAATTAACCAATAATCAGATAACAAGATGGGAGGGGCTAGACAATAGACAGGAGAGCACATGGCACAAAGGAAACACATGACAAGCCATGTGCTCACAATAAACAGAACTAGAACACAAGCACATGACAAACCGGGAGTGTCAGAGCTCTGTCACCTACTAAGATAAAACCAGACAGAAGTGACAGAACCCTGACATGAGCGACACCTGCGCGACGCACCGGTCTCGTATCTTTCACGGAGGAGCGGAAGGATAACGGAACGACGACAGAGAAGGACGAGAGACAATTTTATTTAATGTTTCGTTTTATTATGTGTGGCGGCAGTCGACTGTGAGGGACTGCCGTCTTTACTTTCATTTTTGTATTTGTTTAATTATTTATTATTAAAATCGTTGAATGTTCGCCGGTTCCCGCCTCCTCCTTCCTACAACATCAAAGCTTGTTACATGTAACAGTATATTGGATCTGTGCATTAGCTCTTTAAGTGACAACAGCCTAATAAATATGCTGCTGTCTGTTTTATTAGTTGATCAGTCTGTTTTATTAGTTATTAGTTGCTCTTGACTGAATAACTTTTGTTGCTTTAATTGTAAGCAATAATCTGTATTTAATTGTTACAATGAAACTATGCAGCGTTATTTTGCATTTTATTAATTTCTGTAGTATTTCTTACCAGAATACTACTGTTAGACCCACCTCAAAGCCATATTTATTTCAGTTTTCTCTTTGATCTAACGTATTTATTTGTGCTATTGTTTGCGATTTAGTTGATTTGTTCTTATTTTATTAATGACTGTTTACTTGTCTTTTTTGTAAATCTAGTTCAATGATTTAAATAAAGCCTCCCTGTGCTGTGTAAGCTATTACAACAAAATTACCCAAATTATCCAATAATTATGAAATAATAACAAATTATATGTATGGCGGTGTATATATTTTCCCCGTGGTATCAAATATTGATATTTTAATTACAAGGAATCGTATCGAAGTTGGAAATTCCAGTATCATGACAACACTAATGCCAGCCTATGGTCTCCATTGGCTGCCGGTGAACAGCGTCTCTTGGCCCCGCCCTCAAACACTGTAGTTGTATCTGAGACTGGAAGAGTTCGTTTCGTGCTGTTCATGTCGAGAAGATGCTGTTTTCTGCTGACAAAGCAAATCCACTGATGAGATTGATACAGTAAAACCCACGCCATCGTTACTGTTCGTATCACTGTGTCAAGAGCTGAGATTCAGATATAGAAATAAGTGTTTGGTTTCTTCACAGCAGACTGGGACATCTGACCAATCAGAGCAGAGCAGCTCTCATAGAGGCGTGGTTTAGAAAGACTGAATCCTTTATCGAACCGTTTCATACACTGAGAGAAAAGAGCTGATACAGTGGATATTATAAGATTTTTTTTTTAAAGAGTAAAAATATATTTTTTTTAAACCTGGATCCATGTAAACCTATTGTAGGAGACTCCAAAACAACATTAGGAGCATTTAAAGTTCCATAATAGGGACAAACAAAGCTTCATTAATTCATATATTTGAGACATAAAAACTTACATTCGAGTTTTTACATTCATTTTATATCCTCCTATTGAAACAACAGCTACAACTATCGGAGCCGGAAAACCTGAAGACACACAGAGAACATTTTCATTACTTGAAATAAAATAAACTTTAACTGAAAATAAAATATATATTAAAAAAACATTTTCTTTCAGCTAGTTGCCAAGGAAACATTTCTCATATTAATTTAATTTAACTTAATGTACTTAAATGACTCAAACTAATTAAAACACCACGTAATGAAGACAAGCTGCTCAAGTAAAGGTCAAAAACATCATCAAAGTATCATGACAGGAGTTCATAAGACTTTTCAGGTGAACTTGAGTTTACAGTCTGACTTGCTGGTTTTTATTTATTTTTAATTATTTCTTAAGGCAAAAGTATAACAGGAGTTCCCTTTCATAAGGGAAAGGGAACTCCTGCATCGATACTTGATGCTTTGGGGAATGCCTTCGGCATGATGCGTCTTAAGTCTGTAGTGGAACTACTCCAATCTTGATTGGTGCTATGTCTTTTGCATGTGACGGTGATCCGGAAGCTATAAAAGGACATTGGAGCATAGCCGTTGTCAGTCCAGGTCTCATGGGGTTGCAGCCAGGGGCAGCCTCATGGGACAGCCGCCAGCTCCTCATATTTTGAGAAGGTTGCTGCCCTTGCTCCATTGAGACTTTAGGGGATCCGTATTCTAAATTATATAGATGACTGGCTCATTCTGGCTCAGTCAGAAGAACTGGCGATTCAACATCGAGATGTTGTTTTGTGTCATCTGAGGTGCTTGGGGTTGACACTCAATGTGAAGAAAAGTTCCTCTTCAGAGGACTACGTTCCTGGGAGTAGAGTGGGACTCAGTCATGATGCGGGCACAATTGTCTCCTGCTCGTATAAATACTATCTTAACCACAATGAAGAGTATTTGGTTAGGCCAGTGTTGTGGCAAAAATTCATCTCGAGCAAACATCACTGCGTAAGAGACAGTCAGAGTCAAATTATATAAAATAGAAGTATTTATTCTTGCAAGAATAGGAGCAGTCTAATACACAGTTGTTACCCTGTGCAGAAGAGTGACACACCCCCAGACAGACTGAACCAGCTTTTATCTAAGTTTCAAGGCCTTCTTTCCCCCAGAGCCTTCCTCCCAGTAGTTTTCCATAGACTAAGCCCCCCTGCACCAAATGGCCTTCTGACATCTAGGTCAGAGGTCCCTGTTCGTCTGCTCCCTGGAGTGTCTCCCCCTTCTGCTTCCCCAGGTACATAAACAGAATCTTGTCTCACTACAAGTGAGAGACACACATGTGACATTCTTTGAATCATCTATATTTTACACATTGAATAGGTTCTCTCTCTTATGATATCTGTTAGGGATCAATGACTATTAAAATTTCCACAACAAATTCCCGCTTTTTATCATTCTGATTACCCATAATCATAACAATAAACAATAAGACAAATTTTAAGTCATATCATCACACTTATACTCTTCATCTCTGATTTTTTGCATAAATGATCACTCTCCTTGAACCTGTGAAGAAAAGTTTAGAATGAAGAAGCATAAGGCTGTTTTTGTGGGGGAAAGGCCCCGTAATATTTTAGCTAGCAAGTAAATATTTTCACGACGCCGGGCTGAACGAGAAATCTGTTCCTGCGCTCCTGTAAACAGACCCTCAGTCACGCCAGTAAGGAAAAAGGTAGTTATAACATAGTAAGGAAACAAACAGATAAAAGTATAATAAAAAATCACTCAGTTTCAAACCCTATCTTTGTACGCCATCTCGTAACACGGATGACCGCTGCTTGTAACCTTCTTTAAATCTTTTGCCCTTAATCTTTCTCAGAAAATAAACAAATAGAAGAAAAACAAACAGAACATACATTTAACACATATCTCACTGTAGCTCCCGCTACCTGTATCGTCACATAATTTTGTTCATCCTTGGGATAGACTGTCATTTTCACCAATTGAACAGACAGCATGTTTCACCTGTCACTATAATCATATTCCCCCATGAATAACAAAATTATTAGAATAACAATCCTAAACCCTATCATTAAGCCTTTTCCATTAATCTACGCCCATCTCCATATTTCACCTCGGTTTTCCTAACCATATTTTGTTCACTTCTAATTCAATTTAGTAAGCTCTATTTAATGCCATATTTAACAAAATCTAACCAGAGAAGTCTTATAATTGTATCCATTCTTCTAACCAATGCAGTTGTTCAATATTAACTCTAATATTTCCATTACGGACACAATCAATATATTTTCTACATTTACAATCAAATCAATACCTAGTTTGATTCAATCAAACAAAATCATCACAAAAACAGATTCTTCTGTTAAACGTTCCGTTTCTTTTACCTTTAACTTTTAATTCAAACAGGCCGTGGTTCTACTTAATAAGCTTCAACAATAATCCCTATAATTTACATTAATTAATAGATCTTCTCTTCCCAAAAACATTTTCCTTAAATATTTCCTAATGAATCAGTAACCAATCAAATCTTTTGATCTACTGTATATCAATACTAAGCCCTATTTTGATTTAATCAAATAAAATCCTCAAAAATCATCACAAAAGCATTCCTCTGTTACACTTAAACCGTTTTACCACATCCTCCTCCAGGTATGTTGACCGTTGCCCCATGCACGTTCCGTCTTCGCCAGGTTTGACTCTTTACGAGCCGTAGCCCTGGGCTTCCCACGTTGGTGGGGGAGGTTACGTTACTAGCACGTCCTTGATTCCCCCACTTGATTCCCCCACTCCAACACGTCGGCGTTTGGGGTATCTGAGGTTGATTGGTGAAGCTTAAGATGCTTGGACTTAGGTGTCGCGTCTCCAACCTTTCAACCTTGCCTGAGGAGTTAACCATTTCCTGGTCATTTTCACCTGTGAATGGAGACCTTAAGTATTTTGTTAGTGACCGCTTGTCTTGCCGCTCGTCCCCTTTGGTGTGACCTGTGGAATTTTCACCATCTGTTTACAAACTGAAACATATTATCATTAGACATTTCTTGCTTAATAGCACTCAGTCCTTTTCCCCTGAAAAACACATATATCCACTTTGCTTACGTTAACAAGTCAATATTCATACATTTGGAGACACAATCAGTTCAGCTTGATGCAATCCATCCTGACATTCTGCAAAAGGAAACTTTTAAGTTATGCGCTGCGCAGGTGTAGCACCTTTCTGCCACAATAATAACCCAGGCCAGGACAGTTAGCCAAATTCATCCATAACCATTATTTTATTGGGCACATTTTGCCCTGTCTCCCAATCCTGCATGCTCTCTGTAAAGAGAAACAAATTTCGAGGTTATTGTCAGATAGTAAAGTACGTAGTTTCTTTTGTCTACTGTTCTCCCGTGTCCTTCGATGCCCTGGCGTTTCCTGTTGAAACAATCTTTGTTATTGGTGTGTGCAGCACACTCACAGACATAAATTTTGTTAGGCAGAAAAATGGCTTCTTTCAGGGCTTTTATCCAAATACCCCTAGTGTTCTCCCAACATTTATTCAGCAAATGTGAACCCCTTAATAAACCATATTTGGCAATTGTTATACCATCCCCCTTTTGATGCACGACACAACTCGAGCATCAATTTAACATAACATTTAACATAGTGTTTTTGATAAAGTTTGCCATCAACACTAATCCAAACATTGTCCTTCAGACAAATTTCCTCCAGACATCTTTCCCTGTCTCTGAAACAAAAATATTACATTCTTCACTTAAAGCCACAATCTCATCTTCTTCTCGCAGTATTTGAAGGGCAACGGCCCTCAGTCTCACAGCAAATGCCGCTTTTCAGGCCTGTTGTTTGGTCTCTCAAGTCAGTCATCTACAAACATTTTCCAAAGTCATCAATTGTTTCTATCAGGTCAGGTCGTGCTGTACAGACTTGGTCATTGTCAGTCAATCATTTCTCCCCCTTTGTTCACAATAATCATAAATGTGAGGGGCTCTCTTGATAATTTCATGTTGGCTTAGCCAATATGTCACTTTGTTGTTTCCCTCAAATCTACAACATTTTCATTTATCTCAGCCCATGCCAGATGGTGATCTACCACTACACTTCTACCTAATTTTACATCTGTTCATTATTCATTTGATTTTTAGACAAGTCAGCTGGGTTGTTTTGTTTCATTATCATTATTTTGCTTCAGCTTGCTCTAGCAGGCCGATAACAGAAAGACAGACACAGTTACCATCCCTTCCTCCGCTCAAGCAGTCTCTCTCACTATAAACAAATAATATTTCCCCCCCCCCCAGCCTCCTAAGGCTGTAACTTAGACAAAATTTGTATTCATTACAATAACCTTTGACCATTCACCTTTGTTATCCAGACTTTTCTCAAATCTACAAAAGCTGTCTTCATCTTTAGCCACCACCATGTCTAACGACCTTCAAGAGTTAAAACTATGTTATAACATATTAGTTCAAAATCAACACTATTATTTTCCTTGCCCATAAGGCAACCAGTACATAAAAAAAAATGTTATTACTGTCTCCACAACAACTAATGGGAATCACTTCATGGCCTCAGCTGGCTCTTGAAAGCCCACTCCTGTTCGCCCTTTATCTATAATCTCCATCAGGGTGTTTTCCCCTGGCATATTTGCAGACGCTTGTCACAATAAAAAACAAGCCATACAACTAATGCGGTTTCTTCTGGCGAGTGGTATATATCGAGGAGCTTTGCTTTATTGGGGAGACATGCCGTGACTCGTCATCGCGTCATCTCCCCTTAACGCCATAAGGACGCTGCTGGCCTCACAGCTCCTGCTCAACCCTCATACCTGTCTCACATAACACACCTCCATTCAGGAGATGCCCAATGACTTTACGTGATCCACTCTGGCTTGGGTTGCCCCCTGTCAGGCCAATAGAAGGTCGTACCCGTCATAGAGATGGCCACTCGTGCCCACTGGTGACCGCTCTTTCCAATCACACAATCAGTTCTCTTCAACAGAACTCAGCTGTTTTCTGGAGCTTAGGAAAGGCACGTTCAAGAGTCATCCAGAGCCATTCCGATTGCCTAATAGTGTTCACATAGGGAGACAGATT